TTTAGCTGAAGTTGCTCCTCCATTGAAACTTGTAAGGATGACTTTTGTTGGAATCACATCACTTTCTGTCTTTGCAAACTTCCTCATCATCCTAGATAGAGTGGTGTTTATAGCTGCTCCATTATCGATAAGTACTTTCGCCACGGGTATACCATTAACTAAAGCCTTAACGTACAATGGTTTCAAGTGTTTAGTTAACTTCATGGCTGGTCTCTTAAAAATAACTTTTTCGGCAGCATCTATTTCCACTTCCTGCTTGTCTTCTGTTGAATTATCCTTTTGTGATAAGTCAACGTGCAGTATGTCGCACTGAGCTTCTGCTTCCTGAATTTCATTGTTATTGTTTTCTAATGCTTCCTCTTCGGTTACCCAACCTGTGGGAGGAGGCATTATTCTTGGAGGTGATCCATACCTTTCAGAGCGAGGTACTCTCTTTTTCCTCTTGGGCGTCCCATACAACACGTAATAATCGAAAGAACGCCCAGACGGTTCCCCCAACAAGTCCACTTCACGAACTCCCTCTCGATGTAGTTGCTTCAATAGAGTATTGTGCGATACTCTCTCTTTCTTCTTTCTGCTTCCAGATCAATTTCTTCTTCGATGTCCGTCATACCATCATCCTCTTCACCATTGTAGGCCCCTCTAGAAGTTTGACCTTCTTCACATTCCATCACACATGCCTCTTCCTCGTTATCCCCCCTCTCTTTTTCTTCCTTCTCTTTGTTCTTGAACTCATTGGCTAGTAAATAGTTATTAGCCATGATAGGAGGTAACGTACCAAATTGAATAGTAAGGGGTTGATCTGGATCTTCTCTATCCCTTCTGTCTCGCTCAAACTTTGATCTCCCAGAAGAACTCTCTGGCAATTCTTCCATCGATTTGCCTGTACCAGTCTCTTCACTGTCTTCAAGAAAATTTTGATTGGCTACCTCGAGTAATTTAGGCGCCTTAGGACGTGGCACTCCCTGTTGTTGCCTCATCATTCGTCCATAATTTCGTTGAAAACGCCTTTGTTGGGTTCTAGTAATCTCATTGAAGGGTATCACCCTTCCTGCATTATACTGGAACGAATGCCATACATTTGGTTGGCGAGGTTGCGGCCTGAATGTTCTCACATTATTTATTGTCCTGAACTGCCTCTCAAAAAGCGGTCCCCTAGAGGATGATGTACCTCGCCCTCTACTAGGCTGAGCGTTTGGGAAGAAACTAGGGCGATGGTGATGCTGCCATATCCCTGATTTTTCTGTATTTGCACTCACTTCTCTTTTACATCTTGCGCATAGGACGTCTTCATCCTTTTTAGGCTCCTTCCCTTTGATACGTTCAAAGATACTGGGGTGTGGCCCAGGGTCTTTTTCTCCATCATCTATAACCAACTTGAATTTTGACAACTTGTTTTTGAAATCAGTCGTCACCATGTTCACCCCAAGTGGCTGTAGAAAAGGGTTTTCATCCACTGCCATCTTCTTCTTATCTTCGAACGTAATTCGTCCTAATTCAATGGCGTCCTGTAACACATGGCGAAAAACCAAACAGTTGTTAGTCAAATGCGATCATGCATTATACCACTTACAATATTTTTTACCCTTGATTTGTTCAGGGCTTGACAACTTGTGTTTATCACTCAGCTTTATCTGCTTATCCTTATATAGTTTATCAAATATAAGGTCAGCTATGGTTACGTCAAACGAGAATGTTCTGGCCTTTTTGTTTTCATCTTTTATAGGCTCATCCTTGCCTGATGATATAGGTTTAGCCATTATAGGACAAGTATATGCGTCTCCTTTGATTAATTTGGCCAAACACATTTCGGTTTGATCGTAATACTCGTCATTAATGGTATGAACATCAAAGTTTGGGTCTCTATAATAAGTCCCCTTGCTAGAATTTTTCATTTGTTCTTCTTCTCTTATTAATCGTTTATACCTAATCACGTTTGCGCTCAATTGGAAAAGATCAGGAAATTCCCTGTCTTGAAATTTCTTTTTCAAATCAAAGCTTAAACAAATTTGAGGGATCTTGACAAACTCCTTTTCAGGTAAAGGTACAAAACATTTACTTCTTGCTGTCTTGAACCTTTGAAGGAAACATTCTGCCCATTCATTTGGTATTTGACGTAGATTCGCCAAATCGGCCAAAGTAATTTCAGACTCAGTTTTATGAACCTGAGCATGGAATAATTGCTCCAATTGTTGCCATGTTTGAACAGAGTTCGCTGGCAAATTGATGAACCAAGAGAAGGCTACTCCTGTTAATGAACTAGGGAACAACCTCATTTTATGGTAGTCGGTTACTTCACCACTTTGCAGTGTGAATCGCCCTATGTGTTCTAGAGTAGACACCTCTCCTAAATCGGTAAATAATGAGAATTCTGGCACTTTATACCCTCTAGGCCATGGATATGCTTGGTCTACCCAATCAGGGTATGACTTTGTGTAAGTCGGTCTAATGACAGGACATACCCCAAAAGCCATTTGATCCTGTACTATTTCCATAATTTGGTTTCTCAACATGACGTTGAGGTCATATGGAATTCCTACAGGTTGGTTGGTCGGTTGATTTGCCTGAAGCCCGATGTTTGGTCCTTGGTTGGCAACAAAGTTGTCATGATTTGGGTCATTGTTGTCATTAGCCTGAATATTTATTCCATCATTGACACGTGGGGTATTCTGTCCATTATTTAGGACATTGTCTCTTATATTTAGGTTACTCCCCAAGTTAGATGTACCATTACCACTATTTTGATTTGGCCTTACACCATCCCCCTGGTTTGAAGTAGATGGACCGAAAGGTGGTTCTATCCCCTGATTTGGACTTAGGATTGGGGAATTATGTCCCACTATTATCTTAATTTGAAAGTGATTTGCAATAAGCACAACTGGCTGACAAATTTGGCCTACTAACTTATTCATTATTTCATTTAATGTATTCAGTTGTTTGGTCATGTTGTCATAATGTGCATTCCCATTCTGGGTAAATCTTTCCATATTATGAACATTTCGTAGATTTACCTGTTCAACGACATCCTGTGTGAGTTCTCCAAGCAATGCACGCATGGTTCGAGGACTCAACTCTGTCATTGGTTTGTAACGACTGTGACTGCTCTGACTCTGTCCCTCTGTTCGTGGAGAGCTTTACTGTTCCTCATATCGCTCGATCACAGATTGGACTCCTCCCTGACTTGCAGCTTCCTTATCAGATTTGTGAGGCATATTGTTTCACCTTTTGTATTTTCAATACCAAACACCAAGGTCCCACTAGGCGTGCCAAATTGTTTCGCGCGAGTAGTCGCTAATAATTAAAAAAGGAATCAGACGATTATGTAAGGAACAGACCTCTTGAGACAAAGTCCCAAAAAGGGGTGTTTTATTGGCGATGACTTACAATTGGAACTTAAACAGAATGTCTCCAAGGGGCGCAAGTACAGGAGTACTAAAAGAAATGTTTAAATTTAAACTAAGAAATCGAAATTACATATTCTCTGTTTGAGAGTGTTTGATTCGGGGTCATTTTTCTCTATGTCTTCTCTTCCTTTTATATTCCTTTGATGATTTATTCGTGACAATCGCTTGGAAACTGCTTGATTGCTGTATAACTACCCACTTTCTTTATAGTGGCTAACTTATAGGGGAACTGCTATCCCTAACTGTCGTCATTACTCTTTGTCATTCAACCGCCTTCAACTGGGCTCCTTGATTCGTGGAATGTAATAAGACCACTCAATAACTGTTATTCTGGATAATTATAATGTTTTATGTTTGCTAAGATTCTGGGCGATTTGAAGGTTTGGGCGAGAACGTGGTCATCGCTCTGGGCGACCGTAAGGTATGCTATTCGCTCAGATTTTGGGCGTCTTGCAAGCTTGGACAATGATGTTACCGTATTCGTGGGCTTTCGCCACATTCATCAATAATCCTGTTTGGACTTTTATCCTGGATTCCCAATTGGGTTTCACTCTTTGGGTTATTTGATTTGGGCTGCACTTTTAGTGTATCAACAGATAGTATGATTTATTCTATTTTTTTTCATATTATTAGAGCAATTTGGCAAAAATCTCAATCACACTTGATGATCATGCACCGTCCTATTACTTGAAAAAATTTGGGTTAAATATTCCATTTGTCACTATATTTTCTAAAATGTTTTTCAATAACTTTGAAAAGATTTATGAGATGTCACCGAACTTTCGAAAATGGTTCCTGATTGTGACTGAATTTTAAAAGTCATCAAGTTGCCATTGAACTTGTCAAAATGTTATCACATTCATTACTCCACCACTTGTTATTTAAAATGTTAACGAACTTAACAACATGGCAGCAAAAATGTGAGACATTTCGATAAATTCATCAGGTATATTAATTTGTAAAATGATGAGTGAGGGATACCGGATGATTCTTGATTTTTGAACCAAAATCGTAGATACCCAACTTTGAAGCCAAATATGTACCTTTCTATTAGTTTTACTTTTATTTTCCTTTTTTTAAAAAAAAAAAAAACAATTTGTTCACCTTGACCCAACAAATAGCAAACCTTATAATCAATCAAGTTCATAATCTTTGGTGTTATTAAATCACTCTCAGTCGATTAAGTGTTGAAACATGTATATCATGACATTTCATATATTCTATTTCTGCTAGATATTGAAAATATAATTTTTAATATAGTCAAACGGTTCTTTAAGTATGCTCGGTAGAACATAATCCGAACCCAAAGAGTTTGAACTCGACTCCAGTATTTACATGCATCTGAATAGTTCGAAATATTGAAATACTCGAACCGATCCAACCTACCAAGTGTAGGAAAAACCATGAAAAAAAAAATGCTTACACGTTAGAAAATGAGTATACTTTGTAAAAGTTTGATTTTAAATGAGATATTTATCATTCCTTCCCATCTCTCAATTTGAACTGCTTTGCGAGTGCACGACCCTCTCAGCAAGAAAATGCCTTCATCAACGACTGAATTTCGAATTATGCACAAAAATGACGAATGATCAGGACTCAATAGAAATTGCAAGTACTAAATTTCTAAGCATGGTTTTGAAGGAAAAAATTGTTTCAAACAGCAACAGTTGATTAATAATAGTAAGCTTCAACCCAGCAACATTAAGGGAAACAACGTTCATGACGAAACAAGATGATAGACATTCAAAACTCCTCTTTGGAAACATTTAATTATTTGAACTCGTACAATTCTCCCAAAACAGTTGTGGCTGAGATGTATATCTTCTTAAAAAATACGCTGTGGCTTCCCCATAGTACTTTTCAAGTACAAGCATCTCACCTGATTCAACAACAAAATCAATAATTTAGCCACCATAAAATCTGAATAGCATTACTCGGAAACAAATTAAAGGTTTGTTTCATCATTCACACACGGGACCAATATATTCACTTTGAGCTGTAAGAATATTTCGCAAGAAAAACTGGTATTACCATGGTAAAGCATACCACTTATATGGACAATCATAGTTTGAAAAAATGATCAGTTCAGAATGGCAAGCACATAACAATATTAACTGACCGTAAAAAAATGGGGGAGATACTCACATTCTGCCAATTTTTCTTCAGCAGTGAAACTAGAAAGTTGACACTCATTTGCACATTTTGAAAGACTTGCTTCTCCTCCATACCCAAATTTCCAACAGCAACTCCCATGCAAAGAACCTTCTTAAGCTGAAATTTCACTGTGGCCTTCGTCTCATTGACCTTGGATTCAAGAGATTCCTGGTGACTCACAAGAGTAGGGAACTTTCCTGCATTAAAAATGTTAAAACAAGTTAGCTGAAGATAAGCAGTACATTAACATGCCAAAGAAACTTGTAAATGATTCAATTTTAGGATATCACAATTATCTTCATGCCCACTAAAAAATGTTAGTAAAATTACCAAAAAGGCATGCCATGATAATATCCAAAATTTATTGATTTATAATTAGTTATCTAATCACAAGGCAAGCCACAGGAAACGGATTTGTTTCCAGGCGTCGCATTTAAAAATATTTACACAAACATTAAACTACAACAATAATGCAATAAAAAGCCTGCTTTAGTACCATGAGAAAAATAATAATTTTTAAAATAGAAACAAACATCAGATAAGCCAATCATGGTAATATTAAATGTTACACACAATTTCACTATTTTTATCAGCTGTAATTTCACTATTAGTTAGATTTGTATACAGGTGCAAAAACACTTCGATATCTGAGAAAGCATCCTTGTAAGATCTTATATTAGCATACCTTTTACTTTTCAAACTTCCAAAGAACGTAAGACCAATTATTATTATCAGATGTTAAACTCATCAAACACACTTGCCTGCCTTGTTAAGACCAGGTCCTAAGAGACGAGGAATCTGCTTGATAACAGCTTCCGAGGCTAAGAAAGCATGATATTTCTTTGCAAGTTTCTTAACCAACTTCTTGTTTTTATTCAACTTCTTGAGAGCCTCCACATCCATGGACTCCAATCCTATTTTCTCTGCCTGCAAATAAAATTTATAAGGAAAAAAAAAAAAAGAAAAAGAAAAAAAGAAGACATGAAACATGGGTATGCTGTACGTGTCTAGAATACTATCAAGATTATCATTGCAACTGTTGAAATGGCATAGATATCGAAAATAACATGTCTCGACGTGATATCAAATGAAGCAATCCATGGTTCACAAATATGTTTTAAATGTAGAAATTACTCTTTTAAGTGGTACCTATGTGGTCTTGCCATAAAAAATTCTCTAGCCTAAGCATATGAAAACTAAGCCCCTATTTGACAACCATTATTTAGGTAAAATGGAGTTTTGAATAGTGATTTTTTTGGAGAATGTTTGGTTAAAAAGTATTTAAAAGTTTTAGATGTAGCAAAATATTTTATTGTGTGAACGTATGGTTGAAAATGAATATATAGGAAAAAGAGTTTTGGAGTAATGGTTGTCAAAGAGGTGCTAAATCTCATACGATTTAAAAATTTAATAAAAATAAAGAAATCCAGCTCAACAAGTAAAGGTTAAGTAGGCACTAATACATGTTATACCTAGCACACAAATGAAGTAGTTTCGTGCACATTCTCCGCTAGCTTTACTAAAGTTGCATATAATACATGATAACCAAACAAACATGAATCGATTGCATATGAGAGTAGTGTACAATAGGAAACTTCAGAGCAATGAAAACATTATTTCTATGGAACTCTGTACACATTTGTCTTTGTAGTACAAGGGAATTCTCAACGCAAATATACATTGCCACAATGCTATAATAAACACAGCGAACCTTTGGCTTTATTTTATAATCTGAATCAGAAAGCTAAAGACAAATTGCAACATTTGTAAACTATCTGATCTTACTTAAATAACTAATGGAGAACACAAGTCTACCTCCTCAACATGCTGAGCATCACCAAGCATGCAAATCTTCATCTTGGGGCGAGGAATGTGAGGCAATTTCACCGAGCCGCTGAATCGCTTGTCCTTCTGGGGATCATAGTTTTTCAGCCCAATTTGAAGCTCAATTGTCTCGGTGAAATTACGATTTTTCTCCTTAGAATCGGTAACAATTACGGAGATAGCTTCTCTCAAGGCCTCGCTCTGAAGCTTACTGCGAATTAATTACAATCGAAACCAGATAAGCTATACATATAAGCAATAAGCTCCATTTAAAAAAGCAAATTCTTAACATTTCTGTTTTCTCACCTCATTGTGCAATATCTCTATTTCTTCTCAATCCACTTCTATTCATGAACAAAATAACCAAATTAAAATCACAAAAACAACAATTTGTAATCACTTTAACAGATATATCGACAGAAAATGGAGATAGAATGAAACCTGACGAGAAGTCTTAGAGTTCTTTAGACGGAATTGACGGCGTCGTTTGGTGAAGACAAAATAGGCTGTTATAAACCCTAGAGCGGAGAAGGCGCTTGAGTTAGACTGGGCTGTACGTTTTCTGGGCTTACATTGAAGTGAAATGAAAGCAAAACAAATTTACACAAATAACAAAATTAAAGCCTTTCTATAGATTTGTAGTAAACCAATTAACACAATGGGAGCTAAAAATAGGAAAATAACAAAATTAAAGCCTTTTTATAGATTTGTAGTAGAATAATGTTATTTGCAATCGCTCGCTGTCGTGATCGCTCTATGTGATATGCATGTGACAGTTAATGATTTGACACATTAATGTAGTGATTTTTTTATTGCCTTATACAACGAATCATCGTCACATATACGTTATATAGACGATTGTAAATAGTATTATTTTTTGTAATAAACTATTTTTCTGATTTGTAGTATTTTTTAATGAGTAATGTTATTTGTAATTGCTCACTGTCATAATAGCTCTGCGTAACATATATGTGACGGTTAATGATTTGATACATTAATGTGGTAGTTTTTTTATTACTTTATGCATCAAATCACTAACCGTTACATGTATATCACGTATGAAGACTAAGGTAGTTAGCGATTACAAATAGCATTATTCTTTTTAATTAAATAGGATTATCTGCATCCCTATACTACCATTATTGTCTCGTTTTTCTCTCTTAATTTGACTAATCTTTAATTCTTTAATTACATGATCCACTGAGTATTTGTAAATAAGATTGAGAATGTTTACAAAAAATAAAAGAAATACCATATCTCAACACAAGTCATAAAAAATCTTGATCCATTTTCTAGAAAATACATAGGTTCTATTTGGTATAGTTTTACTTTTACTTTTGCTTTTACTTTTTATGAGGAAGCTATTTTATTTTTGTTTGAAAACTATTTTTAAAAGATTTTTATATTCTAGAAGTGTTTTTAGATGAAGTCACATTAAATCACCTTTCTTTAAACGATCTTGTAACTACCAAAAATACATTCATAAAATTAATCAAACGGAATTGAAAATCTTCTTTTGATTTTTCAAAAGTCATATTAAATGGGTCCGTAATTATTTTCTCGATCTTGGTCTTTTCAAGTTCATGTAGGTTTAGTTCAAAATTTTCTTGTTTTCAAAACACTATGCAGTGACTTGCATTTTATTTTATGTCTAGCTCCAATGATTAAGAATGTGAAAGAAGAAGATGTTGATGTTGTTATTGAGAGGGAAATTAGAGGAAATTTTTTTTTTCTTTTAACAAAAATAATGATATATTTAGCATCAATGCATTATTCTTTGTAACATGTTTTCTCGTGTTCTAAAACGTTCCATGAAAAAACAGCCCTTGCCTTATGGTGCGCACATTTTTATATGTCAATTGATATATTCCATTCTTTGGCTGAATGGTCTATTGACAAATCCCGAAAGAGTGAAAAATTATAGTTGGGGGTCCAAATCTTTCACTTTATTATAGTTTTTACACTAACATTTCATTTGTAGCACTCACAATTTCAAACCTTTGAATTGCTTACAGTAGGAAAAATGGTTGGTATTTACAGTTAGTTGAGTCCGACGATTTTGAAAGAATAAAATGATAATTTTACATTTTTCTTTTCATATAAAACAATTAAAAAAAAAAGAAAAAATAGAGCCACACATTCCACCCCACGCCACCCGCGCCATTTCTCAATTATACAATAGTAACAATTAACCATGCTATATGAAGAAATTCAATGACAAAATTTTAAATAGGGAGACACGTGTCATTTTTTTCATTTAACATTTAGAAAGGGCAAAAAAGAGACAACATGTGTCACTTTTCACTGTTTGAATAGCTTTATTTGGTAACTATCCATTTTCCATGAGGAAGAATTTCAAGAATCTCAAGTCATTTTACAAGAAAATGACATTTTTGTGGGTTTAATCTTCATCCTTTGAAATGATAAAAAGAAAGCGCATAATTTGACTGTAGAAGAAATGAAAATTCTAAGTATATTAAAATCTTTGAAACTGAAACCCAAAAGTAATTTTTTTATTTACATAAATTATTTTGTAGCTCAAGAAGATCCAGAGTATATCAGTTTTATGTTCATGTTTCCTCAAGATCTTTTTGTCTGTTTTCAACAGTTTCCAACAACCCACAGCTGGTTTTTTTAGTGACAATGATACTTTATCTTTTCCATAATTCCTTTGTCATGATAAACAAAGAGAGAAAATTAGATTGTTGATTTCACTTTAGTACCCATTTTTTCTTCAATTTTTGAAAACATCGAAAAGAAAATTGCAGTCAGTTACAGAAATTTTGCTTCAATTTCTTCACAAAGTTTGGATTGTTATCATCTTCCTTGTGTTTTAGGTGTTATGAATACAACGAAAGGAGTCTGGGGACGAGGGAAGAGAGTGAGGGTTCCATATGGAGGCAGCAATTGCTTGCGACTCCACCTCTTCCGGGGTCGAGAAAGAGAAGAAAACCCCGCGGGTGAGGGCAGGGGGGTGATTTTGGAGAAGAATAACTAAGAGTGTGTTTGATTGACATGGAAAATATTACCTAGAAAAGAAAATATTTTCCATCTTTTGTGGAAAATAAAAACCACCTCTACCCAAGGAAAATATTTTCCTTGAGAAAAAGAAAAGAAATGAAAATGTTGAAAAAAAAAAAGGGGAAGGAAAAGGGGGGGGGGGGGGGGGGGGGGGGAAGGAATTTTGGAGAAGAATAACTAATTTTCTTTGATTTCTTCTCTCTCTCTCTCTCTCTTAAATGTTGTCAAAATCAATTATCCTGGTCGACCGATGTCAATTCTTTTATGGAATATGCAAATCCATGACGGTGTCCACTCCTCTTACATGAAGGAGACTCATTTAGAATAAATTATATTTTATTCGAAGTGGATTTCTCTCCATGTAAGGAGGGTGGACAACATTATGAACGCTTTGATGTATGTATAGCATAATCTTTATTTTATGTGTCCTTCAATTGCAAGCAATTATCTTCTCTCTCTCTCTTAAATGTTGTCAAAATCAATTATCCTGGTCAACTGATGTCAATTCTTTTACAGAATATGCAAATCCATGACGATGTCCACTCCTCTTACATGGAGGAGACCCACTTCGAATAAATGTAAGAAGGGTGGATAACATTATGAACACTTTGATGTATGTATAGCATAACTCTTATTTTATTTGTCCTTCAACTGCAAGCAATCCAAAGGTTTGGGAGTATGAACGTCACAATTGAAAGGTGAGGATAAAAGCATCAACAAAGTGAATGATTTGAAAATGCAATTTCAATTTTCTCAAAGAGTAGTGATAGAAGTGGGTCTAAAAGAGTACTTGACCCCATAAAGTTCCAAGCAAGATGTCCTCCTAATTACCAATGCTTTGGATGGACATAACCATCAAAAGAAAAAAAACAAAAAAATGAGATTTGTTCAAGCTTCCTCCAGAACAATTACAAAAATATTTAAAGAACATCTAGCCTCTTTTTAATACCAAGATTACTAGATATAAATGCAATAATGTTAACAATACATATCATGGTACTGAAAATAACACTCAAACCAGAGAATTTCACGGGAAGAAACTTGTAATGTGATAAAAGCAAAGTGCGAGCGATGGCAAATTTGACTTCTTATAATTCGAACAACTCCACAGGCTCACATCCTGTACGTTCTAATAAGGTAACAATTATTAAGAGAAAAATCAAAATGCATGCTACAAAAACCAAGCCAGACGGAGAGTTGGACAATGCTACTTCATTCGGATGGTCTCTGTCCCAAAACCGGAATATCCTCGTAACGCTTCTGTATTTCAGTTGTGGCAAAATGTAGTCAGAAATTAATAAACTCCTGAGCAGAAGTTCATGAATGTTATATTGAGCAAAAAAGCTAGGTACTCAGCATTTTAAAGGACACTTAGCATGACAATAAAGGCAATGCAAGTCAACAATAAAAACTAAACATAATAGGCAGGGGAAAAGCCAGGTTCCTGTCCAGCGGGGGAATGACTTAAATACGTATTTTTTTCTTTCAAAAAAAGCACTTGAGTGTCCATAGTCAATTTTTTGAGGCATCCAAGCCACCAACCTTCCAGAAATAAGCAAGTAGGTCTTCATTTAGATGGGAACTGTTAATCTTATCAACATGTTGTGAGCTTCAAGTTCCATGGGTACTTTTGCAACCAACACCTATGTCTAAAAAAAAGGTAAAACAAAAAGAACCACTAAGAAGAAAAGGAAAACACATGTGAAAAATAAATATAAAATAGTTGAACACCAACCCGAAACCCACTTAATCCACTACGGAATCCATGTGGTATCTCCACCCCCAAAAGTTTCATCAACTATATTTCTTTTAAGCTATATTTGATTGCACCCCAATTCCATGGAAAATGGAAATCAAATTCCATCTTTCCAATTTTTTATTGTTTGATTGGCAAAATTTTTCCTAGAATTCGAATTCCACCTTTTATGCCACATAAGCTAATTTCCATGTTTTCCTTGAATTCCAATTCTCACCAAAATGGTGAGAATTGGAATTTACGGTGACTGTAGCACTTTTTTTTTCGATTTATTTATTTATTTATTATTATTATTATTACTTTGGTTGGTAATGGAAACAAATTTTAAAAATTATTGTAAAAAAATATTTCCCTTTAAATGACAATTTTCATGTAAAACAAAGTCAAACGAACACCAAAAGATAGATAATTTTCTTAAATTTTTTTTTTTTTTAACAATGGAAACAAAATTCATCCCCAATATCAGTAAAATATATCCCTTTAATTAACAATTTTCATGTAAAACAAAATCAAACGGAGATCAAAAAACATTTTTATTTCAACATTTTCCACATGGAAAATTATCCCAATCAAACACAATAATTTACAATTATCAAGAAAATAATTTTTAAGCAATTCATTTCCCTGGAATTCGTTTTCAATTCAATTCAATTTCATCTTTGCAATCAGACCCTTAATTCCTTTTTGTTCGAGTCGGATGCAATGCAACAAATACACTTCATATGTCATTTTGTTTCACGTGTCCTTTCTTCAGTTGATATATTAAATGAATCCAAAGCAGTGCAAAAAATGAAGTCAAAGAAATGGATGCAGTTTCATTTTCTGAACAAGAAGACTGTCCTGGTTCGTGAGAACCAGTGGGTGGGGATCCCCTAATGGCTGAATGTTGTTGGGCTAGCGCTGCATATAGTTGAAGTAATGGTGAGTGGAGGCTATGATGCTCGGATTTGGGTGTCGGATACGGATACATATCTAGGAGTCGGATTCTTTTTATGGGTGTCAGATACGGATACATATCTAGGAGTCGGATTCTTTTCATTTTAAAAATTAAGATATGAAGATACGATTTAAAAGGATCTGAATTTTGGATACTGGTTCGGAGATACGTCTTATAATTTTTTCCCAAAAAAATTATTCAATTAAAGCAAATAACAAATCATGTCATTTACATTAAATAATAAAACCTTTAGGGATAACCCCTAATTTATGACAGTATGGATTGTTGACTTTTAAACCACTTAATTTTTTCATTTTTTTCTTCTTCTTTTTCTTTTTTATTGGAAAAATACACTTATTGAAGGGCCGTCCAACTGGTTATGGAAATTTCCTCATATCATTAACTTCCTTATTGAGCTTCATAGAAACCCGTTTAATACACACCCAAAACCTATCATATTTTCCAACCGGTCATCTTCTCCAACTTTCATCTTCCCCTTTTTGCAAAATTCTACAAATGTTGCTGCAATCCTCCATACATTTGGGGGTGGGGGGGGGGGGGGGGGTTCAAACCCACTTCAACTTGAGTTATGCTACATCCCAAATTTAATCCATATTTCCCACAACCGTATGTTTCATTAAACCAAGATTTTAACACAGGTGTATTTGATTTCATAATTTGTTACATTATAAATTACTATCCTATAACATAATGTTAAAGAGTAAAAGATACATGCAGCTCTCAAACTTTTCAAAATGACCCTGAACTTATAGCGGCTTTAACCATTCAACGTTGCTCCCAACAAGTGAAAAAGGGATCGAAGACTCGGAAAGGGGACAATTATCTTACTTTAATCTGTTCAATTTCTCAGAAAACGGTTTTTTTATTCAAGTAATTAATTACATTATAAATAATATGCATCATTAGATCTTCCAGCACATGATGTTATCAAACAGAGTAGTACACACAATCCACGGCCTAACAGCATTTCAGATGTCATAGTGTTTTGACATGTTATCTCAGACTTGAGAATCAGTCTACTGCTGCACGCCTGCACTCAACAATTACTAACAATTCATATAATATGCAAGCAAGAACCCAGTCGTATGCACCCACAAACAATATAAATCAGCCAAAAAATCAGCTCAAATTGAAGAATGATGATTTGAAGTAATACCCCAACATTGTTGTGCTCCCACAGCCTGTGAACCCCATAGTCCACCGCCTGCAAAGTCAAACAAATCAAATTAACCCAAAATCCAGATTGCAAAAAGTTGAGAAAGCGGAAAAGCACGGAAATCTTAAAACCTAAATCACACTCCAACGATTAACGTCAAAACTTCTTTTGAGAAATTACTGAAATATCAATAGAAGTCATTCATTTCCTAGATCGAAATACAATCGAGTCAATCTACACATAAATATAAGAATAAATGGAAATATAAAGATACTGACGCGTTCACCGAGGAAAGCACCGGCGACGACGAAGGTAACATAGACGGAATTGCGGCGCATAAGCACTCTGTAGAGTCCTTCCCAAACACCTCCGCTTCTTCTAGCCGCCGTTTCCATTTTTTTTTCCACAAACTTCTTTATGAATTTCTTATAATTTGGTTGGAGAAAATGGAGAAATCGGGATTGGCGATTGATTGTGGATTTTTCAGGGTAGGGATTTGAGTTAGTTATTGTGAACCGGACCGGAGCACGCGTTAATTAGACAAACCGGGTTGGCTTAAAGTGGGCAAAAGGCCCAGAGCCTACAGGTTGGCCGTTGGGCATGGACTAAGTGCGTGTTAGGCAAAATTAAAATTATAATTTAAGCCCTTGTTTAATCCTCATTCTTTTCGTAAAAATAAATTTTTGAATAATATATTGATGAAAAATATATGATTAAAAAATAAGAAAAAAATTTAAATTTACATGTAATATTATTTTATTAAAGAATGTATTGTTGAAATAATGTCAAAACACTGTTTAAAAATGTATTTTTTAAAATAATAGGGCTCAAACATGGCCTAAGTTGTTTTCGTAAAATTTAGAATTATTATTCATTTACTGTTTATACATTTTATATGACCAACAATTTCCTGTGTTTTTAGTTTATTAATCACTATTATCTTAAGCCCTTGTTTGACAGAAAGTATAATATAGATTTTTATTGAAGTCAAAGTCAAAATTTAATTTTAATCACATATTTTATAGAATTCACAATTTTTTAACCACACTTTTCATTAACTTTTATTAAAATTTACTGAAAATCTTATTTTAATTGTAATGTCTTAATTTAAAACAAGTCAAAACAAAAAAAAAAATAATAGTCAAAGATGTCATTCTATGGCCCCGTTTGGTTGGGATTTTTTGCCCCAAAAAATTAATTTTTTGACCGTTATTTTACTATTCAAACCGTAATTTTTGACTTCTTCTCTCACATATGGACCCCACTTTTCTTCTAACGGTCAAAAAATCAATTCTCAAAATCCCTACCAAATGGGGCCATAGGCTAAAATTAACTTTTTCATTCATAAATTAATAAAGTGGGGCGGTGGAATGGATTTATATATATATTAACTAGACCCATTTTCCACATTAAAACACACACAAACACAGAATGAAGAAAAAACGTGCAAAGAGGAAAGAAAAAAAAGAGAGGAAAGAAAAAAAAATTGTCAACATATTAGAAAATAATTTCTTCTACTATTAGACTTGAATTCTTCAAAGTTGAAGGTAAGTAAAAAGTTACTTATTGTCAAGTTATGTTTACTTTTATAGTTGTTAGATTTTTAGACTAAATTCAATTTTATTGAAGGGGTTAAATATAATAAACTATGGAATTAAGTAAAATGAAAGAAAAATTAGTTTTAGTGATTAAAGAGGCTTTAAAAATAGCTTAAACATGAAATGATTAAATTTGAGTATCGTCTATTTAATTATTGAATTTACTTAAAATAGTTAATTCTTGATTTAAAAGTTATATTATATTATATTATATTTCAGACAGCGATACGGACATTAGAACAGCGTACCATCCGAGTTAATTTTGGTGTACATAGGTCTATGAGTGGAAAAATATAAATATTTTTAAAGTATTTATAAATTAAGTATATTATCAAAGTATGTACAATTATGTGTTCGATTATATGATTATTATGGAAATCTCTTTTATTATGTTACGCGTGAAATTTCAAGGACTATTTATTGTACATTTGTGACTTGGTAAATGAGACATGTGATATTGAGATTTGTTTTGTATGTGAGATGTGATATTGAGATCGATCAGAAAAGTACCCGTGATTATATATTTCTTCTAGTTCACTGAAGGGCATTGGTCGTGTTCTATACTACATTGAGGGGTCTTGAATTGGGGATGAAGGGGTCTCCACTGTGTACATATAGTTTACCGAAGGGCCTTGACCGTATTCTAGAATTGATTATCAGAGGTATTTGAGACCGGCTTTCCTTCACGAAGGGGGCCAAAGGCTCGTGACGAAAGTTCTTAGCTCGATGGGCGGATTACAGATTTTAGTCAGATGGTATATTTTTTGTGATTTTTTTCAATTCATTTGATGTGATGAGATTATAGCATATTACCAGCTTATGTTCATATCACGATTTGAGATGATATTTTATCACTTTATGTGAATATTTCACGTTTTGCTATAATTATATGATGTCATCTTGCGAATTATTCAATGATATGAACTCAATTTTCGATAAAAACGTAAAATTGAAAAAGTATAATTATTTTCGAATTTTTCCACTCACTGAGTTATCAACTCATATATTTCCTTGTAATTTTTCTACAGGTTACAATTGATTCAATTAGCTGGAAGCGTCAAATAATTTTGGAATGAGAGCCACACGACATGTTGAGTGTTATAACTCATTTTGATGAAGCACAAAGTAAATAATTTTGGGCCCATCGCATTATGTTTTACATAAGTATTTGGTTTTGATGTATTTTTTGAAGTAACTCATAGTCAGCCTTGGTGATAGATTTGACATTTAGTTATCATCTATCATCGGCGCACATCACGTTTCGAGTCTACTAGGGTGATTCGGGACATGTCGTATTATTAATATCCACCAAAGAGAGACTAAATGTTCTCATGCCCTCGATTATTGATAATAATTATTTGCGAGTGATACAATCTTGAATCTTCTCATAGCCATTTGTGAAACTTTGGGTCAAGACTCTCCTATGAATGGATCATTATACTAGGATGTTTGCTTGTAAAATGTATATCAATTTAAATGTGCATTAAGAGTTTTTCCCTAGGTTAAAAATGGAAAATGAATTTTGTTGACCTCAAAAATTGGACCCTCCACGTGGCCAACCGATAGCCACTCCACGTATTCCTCCCTGCGCACAATCAACGTAGGGTCAGATGCACACGGTCGGAACCAGCGGGGGTGGCGGCGGCCGTATACACTCCGACGATTAAGTTAGGCTCAGGTGATCGGAACAGCACCAAAGTTGTGCAAAATAGTGGGGAGGAGAATATATATATATATATATATATATATATATATATATATATTACTTTTGCCTCTTGCCAAGCCTTGGGTATTTATAGGTGTAAAGAACAGTTGGATGTAGGACACGTGTATACATTTGACGGTATGAGGCGTCTGCTCATAGGCGTTAATCAGCCGCGTCTATAGAGTGGGCGGGTAATTATTTCTCCCGAATTGAGTTGACATAAAGTTGATACGTCACATCAACTAGCCTCATGGAGACGTCAAATTACTTTAAACCTTAGGGGTAGAAAAGATCTTGACAAAGCTCTCATTTTGAAATCGACGGCGGATCCTCTAACAGAGGTCTCCGGAGTGCATTTTGCATCGGATTCAGGGGCGAGGGCGCTTCGCCGAGTCCCGCAGAAATGCCTATGCTTCATAGTGTGATGGCAAATCGTCACCATTGGTGAAATCACTTCGGAACCACTTCGGATGAGTGTTCGACACCTCGCATGATGTGGTTGTGGACTTTCCGAAATGGTTCAGATAGGGGCTTAACAGTGGTCCCCCAAGTCCAGGTATGAATATTTATATCATGGGTGGACTTGTTTTCCCGATCGAGTATGTATGCCTCGGGATGGGGACCATGATTTGTGAGAACTTGAGGGTCGATCTTCTGTGCTCGCCGAAGCATTGATCCTAGGCAGATGCTCTATAGCTTCGCTACTGCGTGAGGGAAAAATTTATGTAAGGTCGAGGTGCTGCCCAACTAGACGATGCGTAGGGAGACGGTCAACGTAGCGGTTGAGGCGATGACCCACAGGAAACTCCGCGTCAGGTGTGTCTAAACTTTGTAAAGTTGAGTGAGGAGCTCATCTGCACCGGTGCGCTGACACACAGGGGACGACGCGTTGGGAAATGGCTAAAACTTTGTAAAGCTTAGAAAAGAACGCAGCGACCGAAGCGATGACCCACAGGGGACTCCGCGCCAGGTGCGTTTAAGCTTTGTAAAGTTGAGTGAGAAGCTCATCTGCCACCGGTGCGCTGACCCACAGGGGACGACGCATTGGGAGATGGCTAAAACTTTGTAAAGCTTAGGAGGGAACGCAGCGACCGAGGCGATGACCCACAGGGGACTCCGCATCAGGTGCGTCTAAGCTTTGTAAATTTGAGTGAAGAGCTCGATCCGTGGCGAGCGTCTCTGACGTTAAATGATTTGACAGCTGTTGTGTATTTTCAAGGTGACAGTTGGGTACAGCGCCCATTCTCCTAAAAGGCTGGTACGACTACTTATTGTTGACGGGTGGTGCTGACCGAGGCGACGCGTTTTATGCGAGCGTGAGGGTCACAACAAAATCTTAGGCGTAGATCAAATCTGGCGTTTCATTTCAACGGCCTAGATTGATTGCATTTGAATTCAATAGTGGAGATTAGTTGGAGCGCTCTTTAAAAGGCGGACTTGAGCATTTTTGGAGCTTTTCACTCTTGAGAAAACAGAAAATCCCATTTGCTCTCAAACTCTTTGCGATTTCCGGCATTCTTTAAGCATTTTCAGTGAGAAATTCAAATTTTCGGCGACCACACACCTCTTTTTGACAATTTCCAGCTAGGGAACACTCAAACTTGTAAGTTTCAGTAAATATTTGAGATATTTCCTTTCTAAAAATGGCTTCTGAGGGTAGTGCTAGTTCAGGGAGGGGGCTGGAGTTAGTACGGATGGACGAGCTCATTGTGGCAACCTCCTCCGAAGAGCCGAAGCGATACTTGGAGGAAGAACATTTGGAAGAGGTCAGATAGACCAGTAGATACCTCTGTGCATTGGGGGCGTCGGATTATCCCTCCAAGCTAAAGGGGGCCAACCTAGAAAGACTTAGGACTGAATATAGGATCCCAGATAGTATAGACCTGATCCTACCCGAACCTGACGAGAGGGCCTGCTACCCTAGGCCAGGGTGCATGGCGATAAGCGAGGCAATCCTTAGGGCTGGTCTTAGGCTTTCAATTCATCCTTTTTTCCGGATGGTGCTTAGGTCTTATGGCTTAGCACCGACCCCACTGAACCCGAACTCTTAGAGCCAAATGGTGGGCTCCTAGATGTTATGGAAAGAGGTGTCACTTGGGGTGGGATGCCCTTCTCTGTTTTTCAGACCCTCTGCATTCCCAAAATAACAGCCGAGGGGGATAAGACTAAGGACTGATATTACCTGACCTCTTGGGGTTCCCACACTCCTTTCGTGCTCGATCTGCCGAGCTCCATCAAAGAGTGGAAGAGCTTGTGGCACTGGACTGTCGGGAGATGGGACACGATGGAGGGGGACCCCCTGGCACCTCTTACAGACCCCACGAAGTACTCGTCACTTAGTGAGTATTGTAGCTGTGTTTCTTGTTTATTTCTCTTCGGTTCGGATCATAACTAACATTTGTGTTCATTTTTTGAAGGCACTCTTCCTCGGTGCGAGCTGTCCTCTGACGACTTTGACATCATCTGCGTCAATCAGCTGCCTCCGAAGAAGAGGTCGTACCATCGGCTGATTAGAAAGAACATTCATTAGTGACGCACGACCTGATGGCCTCACAAGGTAATATCTCAAAGCGAATACCTTTTAGTATTTCCCAGTCGTTTACACTTGTAATAATTTACTTGTTTCTTACAGATAACTTTAATAAGAAGATGCCTCTCCAGCCCGACTTCAAGACCATACAAAAGATTATGGCCGAAACGAGGGCATTGAAGACCTCCTCTTCTGCCTATAAGAAGCAGATGGAGGACTTGGTGGACGCCAGTAAGAGGCTCCAGCCTCCGACGGAGGAGGAGGTGCCTGAGGATCCTGAAGCCAATCTGCTTCGAAAGGGCAAAAAGTCTGCTGTCCCTTCACCCCCGGTTCTGAGGTAAACTACAATTCCTATCGGGGTGGCCATTCCGGAGAAAACGCCTGTACCATCAGTGGCTTCCCCTGCCCCGGCCACACTGCCAGTTGCTGTTGTGCATTTCGCCGAGGTGCTAGGACAACCGAAGAGGAAAAGAGCCCGTCCCTCAAAGAAGGTGGACTTCTTGGGCACGAACTTTGAGGAGCCAGTAAAAGAAGTACTGGAGGCTCTCCCCTCAGAAACGGCTGCAGTGGCGGTGGTCTACAATAAGTACTGGATCGAAGAATGAAGGGACCACACCGCCTCCTGCACGATCGAGGACTTAGTGGCGGCCAATAGTGCCTGTGTGGCCCGGGCTCTGAGCACCACCATCTAGCTCGAAGGCTTGGTGAAAGACCTCAACGCCAAGAGGGAGGACCTCAAAAGTGCCTCGAGGAGGCGATGCAATATGGGAATGCGGTGAGGGAGGCCCGAGCCAAGGCCGCGAAGGAAGAGAAAGGAATAAGGGAGGCTGAGGCCCAACTGGTGGCTGCCAAAGAAGATATAGAGCAGCTGAAAAATGAGCTCTATGAAGTGGAGTGCCAGGTGGCTGCTATGACCCGAAGAGTAGATCATGCCAATGAGCACCATCGGGTCGCCACGAAGGCTCTGGAGGCCTCCAATAAAGAAAAAGCAGAGCTGAGACAGAGGGCAGAGGCCCAATCGGAGGAAATCGCCTTCTTGAAGGAGGAACTGAAGTCTGTAGGGGAAGTGGCTATTCAAAATTTCATTGACCACTTTGAGGAACATCCCCTGTACGACAACTTTGCAAATTTTTGGGCCTTCTGGAGTGTTCAAGGCTTATAGGGTCGGTTGAAAGAGGTCCACCCCACTCTGGACATCTCCTCTTTAGAGGCAGAGTTCGAGGGACCTACTGGAGGTGAGCTGATAGGCTTGCCGAGAACGCTCTAGAGGCCCCCAAGGCAGGCGAGGCAGAGGCTGGCGGGGAAGGCCCTCCTGTAGAATAGGGCTAATCTTCTAATGGCTTCGGCCTCTTTTGTAACTCAATTTCAAGTCAATGAAATGAAATTTTTGCCAAGTATTGTTGCTTCTGTTTTCTTATCGTGTTGATCTGTTTATACATATATGAATGACAAGTACTTAAGATTAAGCACCTCTTAACAATAATTAGAAGATCGGATCACTTAAGTAAACATATTAAAGGACTGAGGTAACAATTTACTAACCGATGTGACAAAAAACTGAAGTATCATTACTTAGAGAAGTTACATTACCCTTTACTAAGGCATTTTCAGCACTCAGTAAGCTAGGAAAATTATAAACGAGATCGGATCAGGACATACATTTATTAGACATTGAGATCGAATCGGAACAAAAGCTCATCACTGATAGTACTTCTTCAAGTGTCCGATGTTCCATTGATGAGGTAGTGCTTTCCCTTCCATGTCTTCAATTTCGAAAGTACCAGGTCGGGATTCCCTGCGGATGCGGTAAGGACCCTCTCAATTCGGTCCCAACACTTCGGATTCGGTTAGCTTTGATGATTGGAAGACCCTTCTAAGGACGAGGTCTTCGAGGTGAAGAGTTCGATTTCTGACCTTGGAGTTATAATAGCGGGTCATCTTTCTATGATACTTTACAAAATTCACCTGGGAGGTATCCCTCCTTTCTTCAAGGAGGTGGAATTCATTTACTCAGGCCTCATCGTTACTGATCTTGTTGAAGAGTATTCGACGGTGTGATGGGACCCTAACCTTGACCGGGCTCATGGCCTCGGCTCCGTAAGTCATTGAGAATGGTGTTTTCCCTGTTGCAGTTCGGCTTGTGATTTTGATGTCCCAGAGGACGTGGGGAAGCTCATCGACCCAAGCCCCCTTTGAGGTGTCAAGCTTCCTTTTCAGGGTGTGCTTGATAGTTTTGTTTACTGCCTCAACTTGTCCATTTGCTTGCAGGTGATAAGGCGTTGAGAAATTCTTTTTTATCCCCAGTTCGTCGCATAATTCTCGCATTTTCCTATTGTCAAACTGTCTCCCGCTGTCAGACACTAAGGAGTGAGGAATGCCGAACCTGTAAATGATATTCTTCCAAACGAATTTCATAGTATTCACCTTGGTGATCTTGACAAGAGGTTCAACCTCGACCTACTTGGTGAAGTAGTCAATGATGACAATGGCGAAAGTCGTGCTTCCTCTTCCTTTTGGGAGTGGACCAATGAAGTCGATGCCCCACCCCACTTGGCGAATGGCCAGGTACTGGTCACTACGAAGAGGCTCTAAGAAGGCTGCCTTTGAATATTTGAGAAGCGCAGGCACTTGTCACATTTCTGGACAAACTGGCAAGTATCCCTTTTCAGGGTCGGCCAGAAGTAGCATTGACGGAGAACGTTGAGTGCCAGAGCCGTTCCTCCAGAGTGATTTCCACAGACTCTCTCATGGATTTTCCTAAGTATGTATGTGGTCTCTTCGCCTCCCACACATCGGAGAAGTGGTGAGGCGAAGCCTCTTTTGTAGAACATATCCTTTTGCAGGACGAAGTGTGCAGCCCTTCTTCTTAACTTCCTCGCCTTGCTTCTAGAAGCAGGTAGTGTTTGATCCTTTAGATATGCGATGATGGACTGCATCCATAATGGGGTGCCTTCTATCCATAGTACCTCTTCACCTCCGAAAATGGAGGGCTTCGATAAATGTTCAATATGGACGTCCTTTAGTAGCTCAGAATCCTTGCTGCTGGCCAATTTTGAAAGGGCGTCTGCATATGTATTCTCTAGGTGTGGGACTTGAATCGGTTCGAACCTTTCAAATTGAGGAACTAGGTACATAACTAATTTCAAGTATTCAACCATGCTGTTGTCTTTGGCCGTAAAGCTTTCATTGACCTGATTCACTATCAGTTGAGAATCCCTGCTTGCCAGTAGCTTTCTGACCTTCATTTCCTTAGCAAATCTAAGACTTACCAGAAGGGCCTCATATTTAGCAGCGTTGCTCGAGGCTTTGAAGCCGAACCTTACCGCACAATTTAGTTTGTGACCCTTTGGGCTTTCCAAGCCAATTCCTGCCCCGGAGCCAACCTCTCCTGAGGATCCATCTACGAACAGTTTCCATGTTGGGAGCTCGGTTGGTTCCATTTTTGCCTCCATTTTTGGGGCTTTGGCAAACTCAACCACAAAATCTGCAAGGCCTGGCCCTTGATGGTATGTCGAGGTCGGAACAGTAGGTTGAACTCGCTGAGGTTGATCACCCATTTTAGCATGCGTCCTGATGCATATGTTCTCTGCAGCACTTGCTTCAATAGGAAGTTGGTGAGAACTTCAATCGAGTGGGTCTGGAAGTATGGCCTCAGTTTTCTTGAGGCTGTGATGAGAGCAAGTGCCAATTTTTCCATGTCTGGGTAGCGTATTTCAGTTGGGAGGAGTGCTTTGCTGGCGTAGTATACTCGCAACTGGCGCTCATTTTCTTCTCTAACTAGGACAGCGCTGACCGTCACGTCCGAAACCGCCAAATACAGCAGCAGTGACTCTTCTGGTTGAGGTTTTGACAAAAGGGGCGCCTCTCCGAGGTGCTTTTTCATTTCCTAGAAGGCTTTCTCGGACTCAGAAGTCCATTGGAACTTTTTTCCTTGCTTAAGCACATTGAAGAAGGGTAAATTCTTTTCTGTAGCCCTAGAGATGAAGCGACTGAGCGTGGCTATCCGACCATTGAGGCTTTGGACCTCCTTCGATTTCTGAGGTGACCTCATTTCCAACAAGGCCGTTATCATTACTGGATTTGCTTCAATTCCTCTTTGGTTAACAATATACCCCAAGAACTGACCTGAAGCCATCCCAAAGGTGTACTTGAGGGGATTCAACTTCATCTTATATTTTCTAAGTATTTGAAAGGTTTGGTCGAGGTGACTTACGTGTTCGCTTGCCTAGAGGCTTTTGACTAGCATGTCGTCCACGTAGACCTCCATGATTTTGCCAATGAGTTCGGTAAACATCATGTTAACCAGTCTCTGATATGTAGCTCCGACATTTTTCAATCCGAAGGGCATGACTTTGTAGCAGTAGAGTCCTCTGTCTGTAATGAATGATATAGCTTCCTCATCAGGTCGGAACATGGGCATCTGATTGTACCCTGAATATGCATCCATGAAGCTCAATAGTCATGTCCAGCGATGGAATCCACAAGTTGGTCTATCCTTGGAAATGGGAAGCTGTCTTTAGGGCACGCCTTATTCAAGTTGGTGAAGTTTACGCACACCCTCCACTTCTCGTTGGGCTTTTTCACCAGGACCGGGTTGGATATCCACTTTGGGTAGATGGCTTCCCTTATGAAGCTACTACGGCTAAGCTTGCCTACTTCATCTTTGAGCGCATCGTACCTCTCCGGGTTGAGGGCACGTCTTTTCTGCCCGATGAGGGGCACAGAAGGAGTTGATGTTAAGATGGTGGTAACTGATCATTTGATCTATTCTCACCATGTCTTTATGCTTCCAAGTGAAGACATCCAAGTTCCTTTTCAGAAAGCTTATCATCTCTTTTTTTGCTTCAGGAGACAGTGCCTTCCTTATTCGCAAGATCTGACTAAGGTCCTATGGGTTGGTGGAGAAAGTTTTGAGTTCTTCCATTGGGGTTGCATTTGGTTTAGAGTTACTTATCCGGGGATCTAACTCATCAAGAGTTTGTCCTTGTTCAGGGGCCTCTTCCATGTCGACGTCTTCCTCATGTTCGAAGGTATGTCCTTGTTCAAGGGCGTCGAGCATTTTCACGTCCATACTGGCTTCATTGGCAACTTCAGTTATGATCACGTTAGCAGTTCAGGGCTCCGACTTTCGCAGAGAGTTCAAGTAACATGCCCTGGAGCCCATCTGGTTGCCTCGAACCGTAGCAATCCCATGTTCAGTTGGAAATTTTATACACAAGTAGTGGATGGATTTGACGGCCCAAAGATCTTTCAAAGCGGGTCTGCCCAATACTTCATGATAGGCCGATCTGTGGTCTACCACTAAGAATTCCATAAAGTGTTGGGCCAATAGGGGTGCTGAACCCTTCTCGACGGGCAGGGTAATCCTCCCTCGTGGGACGATGCTATCTCCAATAAATCCAAATAGTGGGTCGGTCATGGGTATCAACCTATGTTCAATTTGCATTTTGTCGAAGGTGGAGCCGAACAGTACGTTCACCGATCTGCCATTATCGACGAGCATGCGTTTGAGTCCGTTTCTAGCCACTACGGCTCTCACAACTAATGCGTCACAATGGGAGTGTGAACTCCTTGTGCATCTTCCTGGGAGAAGGTAATTGGGGCCATCCTGTTGGCCTCTTGGGACTCATTGACAATGTAAGTGATCATTGGTTGGTCCTTTGCTTCCCTTGTGTAATTCCTTTGGGTGTTCCTGATGTTACCGCTGATGTGAGGTCCCCACTGATTGTGTCGATTTCCTTGATGATTTGGCTCGCATAAAATGGGGCTTGATCTCTTTGTCTGGACTCTCATCTATCCCTTGATTCTCTTTTCTGGGGTGATTGCTCTCTATGCCTTCTCTTTCCACTGTTCGGGAAGGCGGATCTACCAGGATATTCGTTCCTCCTGGAGGGGCTTGACTCGCTCCGATCCAAGTGTCAAGGAGTGTCTCTGCACTCGTTGGTGTCATGCCCATAAAGTTGGTGGAAAGTGTAAAACCTTGCCCCTTCCAAGGGCCTGTTTGATCGCTTCTTCTTCTTCTTCTTACTATCAGTTCTTCCAGATGGTCTTACTTCATCAGGAGCATTCTTGTATGCTAATATCGGCACTGCATTCAGTGTGGCGGAAGCCAGTGCCTATCTGGAGGTGGGAACTATTGTGTGACCTGCTTGAGTCCACTGCTGAGTGACAAGGTGCGCTGCGGGTCCTTGACCTACCTGCCTTTGAGGCAGAGAGAGTCCCTGCGAGGGACGATTTTGGTGATCAATTATTTCTTCACTGACGATTTACACTGTCATCATTTCCACCAGTTCGTCATAGGTGGCAGGATTCTGTCTGCGCACATCCCTCCAAAACAAAATGTTCATGTTGAGGCCGCCTTTCAGAGTTTAAAGGGCTTCTCTGTCAATGACTTGTTCGCAGTAAGTGATTTCGTCTGTAAATCTGGCGAGATAGCTTTTCAACATCTCTCCAGGGGCCTGCCTCATATCTTGCAGGCGTTGTACTGGGGCCTCTCCTTTTCTGCGTGAGAGGTATTGGTTCAAGAATGCCTTCTTCAAATCTGGCCAACTCCTAATGTTCAGGGGAGGAAGTCTGCTATACCACACTTCAATAGCTCCGCCCAGGGTTTGGTGGAAGGCTCTGCATTTCAAAGTAGGCGAGGCTCTCCTGAGGCTCATCTGTGTCATGTACTTGGTGAGGTGCTTCTCTGGGTTCTCCTTTCCTTCATACTTGGGGATTTTAGGGGACATGAAGTTCGCTGGCATTGGAAAGCTTCGGATCTCCCTTGAGAAAAGGAGGTTATCATCATCGTCGTCAATTTCATAAGATCGACAAGGTCCATCTGACCCTTCATCATCTTGAGTATCCTGGGGAGGTGAAAGTGCTTCTTCTCGGCTCTCCCCAATCGACTAGGTTCCTCCCATCCCTCCTATTTCTAGGAGGAGGAGGTGCTTGTTCTTGCTCCTGGTCTTGCCGAACTGATCTTTGCACTGAATGGACCCTATTGCTAGGGTCCTGCCCTATTCGATCGAAGACGCTTACTGACCTTTGTTCCTCATATTCTTGAGGAAAATTATCCCCTAGCCGTGGTTCTGCTGGCTGGCTCTCTTGCACATAGGATGTGGCATCCGTGCCCACTTCTCTTTCGAGGGGGTGTTCTCTGTGCCGGCTCATATGGCCTCGAGAACGAGATACAGGGGCTTCCTACACTAGGTAAGATCCTTAGGGCATTTGAGAGCCCTGGTGACCTCGGGCTTGCATGAGAAGTTCATGCATCGCTATATTCTGAGCTGTGATGTCTCTCATGCCTGCAGCTATTTGAGTCATTCCTTCAGTGAGTATGGCTGTTCTTTTACCTCAGCGACGCCGGTGATGGGGTCTCTAGTGAGTGACATTGTTATGGAGCACCTCTTCTTCAGAGGCCTCTCTCATGGGGTTGTCGTCTTTATGGTCGGAACTCATTCTATTTCCTTTTTCAAGGGTGATGAGATCTTGGGTTATAACTCGACTTTGTATTTTTTAAGAACGTACCCTTTTCAGGATAAGTCGCTAGTTTTCGGTGATTTCTCCAGTGGAGAATGCAGAACTTTGAACGGGAAGTTTCCCACAGACGGCGCCAATCTGTTGACCTCGGAAATTGAACCCTCCACGTGGCCAACCGATAGCCACCCTACGTATTTCTCCCTGCTCATAATCAACGCATGGTCAGATACATACGATCGGAACCAGGGGGGCGGCGGCGGCCGTATACACTCCGACGATCAAGTTAGGTTCAGGTGATCGGAATAGTACCAAGATTGTGCAAAATAGTAGGGAGGAGAATATATATATATATATATATATATATATATATATATATATATATTTGCTTGATATGGAGTGCTAAATAGTAAGAGTTTTATTACATTTGCCTCTTGCCAAACCCTAGGTATTTATAGGTGAGGAGAAATGTTGGATGTGGGACACGTGTATACATCTGACGGTATGAGGCGTCAATCAGCCGCATCTATAGAGTAGGCGGATAATTACTTCTCCCGAATTGAGTTAACATAAAGTTGATACGTCACATTAATTAGCCTCATGGAGATGTCAAATCACTTTAAACCTTGGGGCAGAAAAGATCTTGACAAAAATCTCATTCTGAAATTGGCGGCGGATCCTCTGATAGAGGTCCCCGAAGTGCATTTCGCCTCGAATTCAGGGGCGAGAGCGCTTCGATCAGTCCCGCAAAATTGTCTATGCCTCGTAATGTGATAGCAGATCGTCACCATTGGTGAAGTCACTTCGGAACCGTTTCGGATGAGTGTTCTACATGTCACATAATATGGTGGTGGACTTTTTGAAGTGGTTCAGATAGGGGCGTAACAAATTTTATGCCGCAAAACTATTTTGGAAACGTAAAATAAGTTTGCTCAAATTTTGATAGCCTATGTTTGTCAAAATTTATAAATGATCACACTTCATTTTCATCAACACATTCTAATTAATTCACAATTATTATCCACTTATTCATTACTCAATTCTACTTATTAATAAACTAAACCATTTATAAATTCTTCCCAAACTGAGATGCTAAGATAATTCTTGACAATGACAATTTCATTAATCCTTTGGAAGTTCAATCAATCATTCAATGTCACTCTTATCTTCACACTCCATAAACAAACTATTTATGAGATCATATGAATCAAGCAACTAATAGGACGACTCATAGCGTGAATTGAACAACATTGGACAATACAAAATAAAAATACAGTTAAAATGTTGTTCGCATATTGTTTAATGCTTTCATATACTACATACCAAACATACCCCAATCATTAATATAAAGCACCAAAAGGGAATAAAGACTAAAACCGTATATTATTTAATCTTATCATATACCACATACTAAACATGCACTAATCATTAATATGAAGCACCGAAGGGGAATTAAGGCTGAAAACATTCAATCACAAGAAGAGGGAATTCGTAAAGGAGAAAGGGCTTGAACACATATTAAATATGCTAACCTAAAATCGATATCTACCATAGTTTGCTTAAGAAATAGAAAGGACAAATAGCTTAGAGGATTTATCAGGCTGTTAGCCGTCTACAACATGCAAAATGGAGGCTCTGTAAAGTAACTAGAACACATTCTAAGAGATGACCAGCATCAGGAACCTCGTGATATTGGATCCACGGAAG